CGGGTACATGGATGTTAGATGTGCTCTGTCAAAGCCCAAAACCATGACGTCTAAAATTCACCCACACCCTCTTGCTTTGTTTAACAAGCCAAATTATGATATACTGTGCACTACTTGTCGCCAATTCTGCGTTACCCCTTTCTTCCGTTGTGTGCTGTGCCATTTCGATCTCCATATCCATTGTATTTCAATATTACCACCTACACTCAAGTACTTCAATCATGTCCATACCCTCACTCTCAACCGTTCTCCAATTAAAGACTATCATGATGAAGATGATGATGCAGAGTTTTACTGTGACACTTGCGAAGAAAGAAGAGTGCTGGCCCACCCAACTTATTATTGTAAAGATTGCCACTATGTTGCTCATTGTCATTGCACCGTATCTGAGGTACATCTGCATTCAGTTTTGCACATCAAATTAAAATTTATAAATCATATTGTTTGATTTATCTATTTATCATCACATGGAATGTATGATACATATAATTTGGTGGACTAAAGGGTCAAAATTTCCTTGCCACTGTGTTTGGTTGGGGGATTTTGGAAGAGATTTCAAAAGGGAAAAGGAAATGTATGTGAAACTAGGTGAAATCCGTCTCTTAGCATTTGTGATGAAAATTGAACTCTAATTCTTTCTTTATGTTAAATATGCTAATCTAGAAAATCTGTGAATGCTTTCATCATGTTTTAACTTCTTTGTTGCTCTATATTGGCTACTCCTCTCACAAGCAAGATACATCCTGGATCTTTTTTTCCCTCCACCATAGTCTGATGTTTTGATTGTAATAACCAAACCATTTCTCTTTCCAACTTCACGTATCCAGTTGAGCATTTCATCCTTACTTTTGAATACCTACAAAGTCAAATAAATATTATCAAACATTTACATTTGTTGAGCAATTCAAAACACAATCATTATAATTTCGTAGAGTGAACCTGTCCAGTTGTGAATTGAGTAGTGTAATCCAACACACTATTCGCGCAAACCTGACTTCCTTGAGTTGAGACATATTCCTGCAAGTTTTATATAACATTACAAATTTGAAATGGCATTATAAAGACAAATTTGCAATTTGAAACTGCAAATTTAGTATGCAATTTACGAATTTGGAATATAAAATGAAAAAAAAAAATTATTTCATTCAAAAGTACAATGTCGAAAAAATGCTACTGTTCAAATGTAGTTGTCCGAATTATTTTTACCTGATCGAAAGTTGAATGTCGAAACCTTTAAATTATATTGGACGACAACTTCCGAAATAAAATAATTATTTTGGTAGTAGACTATCGAATAAATTGATATATTTCGGCCCTGGTTTTTCGAATGACACTAGAAATAAAAAAACGACTTTTACATAGCAAAACTCACCTTTCCTTGGCTATCTTTCTTATAAACATTTATCTGTCTCTGAAAATCTGAATTTTCAAAAGGGAAATCTTCTATTACAATGATGAATGAGGATGAGATTTAGTGTGTAAACTAATTAAAAGCTAAGAATCAAGAATGAGAGTGTTTAGTATGTATAAACTAATGAATGGAAGCGAACAATGAAGGGTTTGAAATGATGATGATAGAATGTGGAGGTTTAGAAAACTGAGTATGGAAGAATGGAGTAGCTACAATGGACTTGTGGAGCTTCAACAGCTTCAACGTGAGTCCGGATGTGGATGTGCAATGAGAAGTTGTGTTTATTTGAAGGGTAAATTACACTGACATCCCCAGAGGTTTATGTTTATTACAGTTCCTTCCCTCACCTTTTAGAAATTACATCTCCCCCTGAGGTTTAAAGTTTCATTACAGATTCCCTCATTCAACAATTTAATTTTTTTAAATACCAATTTTGCCCTCATTGGGTAAATTACATTGACACCCTTCACATTTTAGAAATTACAATCCCCTCCCCAAGGTTTAAAGTAGCATTACCAATTACCTCCTCAGTTAGTATTAGTTGGAAAAAAAATTAATTGAAAAAAAAAAAATTGAAAAAAAATTTTGTTAGTAAAATTTTTAAATTTTTGTTTAAAAACCAACATAAACTCATTTTTTGAATTTATGTTTTTTCCTCAAATTTACAAATTAAAACAGCCATTTATAAACCAAAAAAATTATTAAACAAGTTTTTATGACAGTTTTTAAAATTCTTGTAAATATAAATTGAAAACTGAAAACGAAATGGTTACCAAACAAGTCTCAGATGGTAAAAATGTCATAAAATTAACAAATAATTAAATAAGTTATTAAAGTAGAAATGACTTATTAAAAGATTCTTAGGTTATGTATGGTTTGATTTTTAGAATATTTTTAAAAAAAATTAAAAATTAATTTGGTTAAGAAATAAAAAATAAAAAATAATTATCATTTCAAGGTAAAAAATAATTATCATTTTAACTTTTGGGTAGGTTACATACATACATATGGTTGTTTCAATTTAATTTGTAAAAAATTATTTCTAACCACTCGAAAGATAAAAATTATATAAAAATGATAATTAATTTTTATTTTTTATTTCTTAACCAAATTAATTTTTAATTTTTTAAATTTTTTTTCTAAAAATCAAACCATACATAGCCTAAGAATCTTTTGATAAGTCATTTCTTATGTTGGTAACTTATTTAATTATTTGTTAATTTTATGACATTTTTACCATCTAAAACCTGTTTGGTAACCATTTTGTTTTCAATTTTCAATTTATATTTATAAAAAATAAAAAAATTGTCATAAAAATTTGTTTGATAATTTTTTTGTTTTATAAATGGCTGTCTCAGTTTGCAAATTTGAAGAAAAAACGTAAATTCAAAAAATGAGCTTACGTTAGTTTTTAAACAGAAATTTAAAAATTTTACAAACAAATTTTTTTTTCAATGAATTTTTTTTTCAACTAATATTAACCGATGGGGCAATTGGTAATGCTACTTTAAACCTTAAGGAGGGGATTGTAATTCTAAAATGTGAGGAGTGTCAACGTAATTTACCTAGTGAGGGTAAAATTGGTATTTAAAAAAATTAAATTGCTGAGCGGGAAAATCTGTAATGAAACTTTAAATCTCAGGGAGGAGACATAATTTCTAAAAAGTGAAGGGAACTGTAATAAACATAAACCTCAGGAAGTGTCAATGTAATTTACCCTTATTTGAATTATTGTCCATAATAATAATTTCACTTAGGGATAAAATTATAATAAAAATAAGTATCATTAAATATATGCACAGAATAAAATGTGTCTGCAAATAAAAACTCCCCTCCCGTCACCTCTTTTTCTATTTACTTGCGACAACCTTCTACCATGAATCATACGGCTTTATAAGTCGCCCACCACGAACCACTCACTTTCAATGTTAATTGTGGAGGTTTAGGATAAAAGGTAATAAGTTGGGAGTGACAGACATGGTGGCGATGGAAGGCACAGAGTATAAGGGTATTACTGGAAAAAAGGAAAATTGTTTTTGTGAAAATAGAATTACTTCGGGAGGCTCTATTTACACACCACTTTCTCTCTCAAGACAAACCACTTCTAAAAGCACATCAAAAATAATTTGTAAAAATAAATATTTTTCTCATCACACACCACAAATTTATATATTTACCCTTACTCACACACTCACCCACAACAATATACACACAAAGTTCCATCTTTGCCCCCACACAGCCACACACCCCACACCCATGATATTCATCTCCCCCTCCATTCTCTATTCACACCGGTGAACACCATTGCTGAAAACATTCATCAAGATGTCGTCGGTGGTGTTGCTCAACACTGTTCTGAAAAAAAAAAAAAATTATAACTGTTCAGCAGTACAAAGTTGAATTAAATGAAAAAGTTCGACTGTAGTAATCTGAACAAATTGCACTTGTTCTATTGTAATCTGTTGGACAGATGTAAGTTGTTCGATTGTAGTCTGTTGAACAGATATAAGTTGTTCGATTGTAGTCTATTGAACAGATGTAATTTGTTCGATTGTAGTTTGTCGAACAATGATATATCATTCACCCCTGGTTAATCGAACAACGATTTACCACTCATAAACGAAAACGAAAACGAAAACAACAAAAAAAAAATAACCTTTTCATTGCTCCATTGTTCCGAATGAGAATTGTCAGATGCATCATTCATTGAATCTAATCAAAATCTTCAATAATATTATATTTTTGATTATTTGTTGAAGGGCTTTTGATTTTGGTTTTAGAGTTTTTAGATTCTTGACAGAGAAGATACGTAAGGAACACGTTTGAAATTGATGATTTATATTATATTGATTCTTGTCCTTTATGGTAAATACACAAATAGGGTGTATCATAACTTGTCCTTTATAGTCATTTCACATAAAATTAAAATTGTAATAAAAAATAAATTAATTAATGATTTGGCTTGAGAGGGAAAGTGGTGTGTAAAGAGAATGACCCAATTACTCCCCGTGTGTTGGTGCCAAACCACACCTGTAATTCTTACGACCAGAGAGAGAGAGAGAGAGAGAGAAATGGGAGCGTGACTGCCGAATATGCAACCAGGACATCCCTGACGATCCCATCTATTATTGTTCAATAGGCTGCCTCTTTACCATCCACAAATCATGCTCTTCAACAATCCAACAATCTCTTCACCACCACCCCTTTCACCCTCACCACTCTCTCTTCCTCTCCGACCACATTCATCCTCACTCTCTTTGCAATGCTTGTGGCTCCCACTCTGTTAACATGTCTGCATACACATGTTTCTACTGTTCCTTTACCCTTTACGTTGTCTACACTTCTCTAACCCCCACCACCAAAACCGTCCAATCTCAGATTCAGCTCCAACCCACTCACCCCCATCCCCTAATTTCATGTGATCTCAACAAGAATAAGTGTAACAATACATATACTTGCAGTAGTTGCTCTCAACCTTTTGATGATGAGCGTTTTGTGGTCTATGTATGCCTCGAGTGCAAGGGTTCACTGCACAAAACATGTGCTCAATTGCCGAGAAAGATCGATCACTCTCATCACCCCTCTCATCCTCTCATTCTCCTTCCTCAGAAACCTCGCTTTTTCGGATACACTTGCGGGGCTTGTTGCCAGTATAAAGACAGCTTTATCTATCATTGTTCCGACTGTGAATTTTACCTTGACATAGCTTGTGCTTCTCTCAACCCTAACCCTACTGAAAACAATGAATTCGGTCAGATTCGACGATTTAGCCATCCCCATCTGAGAGGGAGATTAATGATATGGAGTTGTGCCGGACAGATTTGGGCCGGGCAGAGTTACGCCGGACAGATTTGGACCGGACAGAGTTATGCCGGACAGATTTGGGCCGGACAGAGTTGGGCTGGATAGATTTGGACCGGACAGAGTTGTGCCGGATAGATTTGGACCTGACAGAGTTGTGCCGGATAGATTTGAGCCGGACAAGCGTTGGGACAAGTTGTGTGGCCCGGCCGTGAAGGAAGCTGCTCGGTTAAGGCAGCGCGTGGATTGAACAAGCTGCGAGGATCCGTGGTTATGAAGCCGGGGTACCTGTCTGCTCGGCAGATAGGTCGACCGCAGACAAGCGTGAGTTGTCCCGAGCTTAGCTTTGCTGAGATGCCGCCGAGTCCGGTCCCCATCTGAGCTTAGCTGTTGGAGTACTTGGGCAAGAAGCGCAGCATGGCAGACGATGGCCGAGATGGTACTGACCGGCTGCCGAGCTCCCAGGAGAATGGGAGGGCAGTTGGGTTAGGTGGTGCCCAGCAAGATTTGTGCTGACAGATGGGATAGCAGCACCACGTGTCGAGAGACGGATGGGAGTGGATTTGGGGCGCAGAAGGTATATAAGCGAGTCTGCGCCCCCCTTGCTGTAGATGAACATTTTTTGTAAGGAAATTCTTACACTCAAACACTTCTCTCTCCCTATCCTAAGGTGTGTGCTAACTTGATCGTCGGAGGGTTTTTCAGCCACACCGCCGGGTAGCTCACCGCTGTTGTGCTCGCAGATCGATCGGACAGACAGAAGCTTGGAAGAAAGGAATACGGGCTTGCCGGAATATTTGCTCCCCGTACAATTGGCGCCGTCTGTGGGAAGCTTGATAGACAAAACCTTGTCTTCCAGGCTCGTCTGATCGCCGTCCATGGCGAACAACGATAAGTTTCCGTTGTCTGCCATAGACGGAGCCACCCCGAAGTTCACCCGAAGGAGAGAAGGACCTCCCGCCATCCATCCAATGGTGGACTTGGAGACACCCACCGGAGGACAGTCAAGAGACACGCGGGATAAGCGCGGAAGAAGTTATGGTCATTCACGAAGTCCGGACGGTCATCGGCGGCGGAGAGAATCACATGCCCGACGTCTGGAACACAAGTTGAGGGACCAAAATGCTGTCATCCGGCAAATGGCGGCGGAGATAGAAGAGCTCAAGCGGCATGTCAAAGGGAAAGGTGTAGCTGGAGTAGGTGACCACAGTGAGCGCACCTCATCCCGCCGTTCAGGCGGTCAGAGTCAGCGACGCACTCCGTCCATTTCTATTACCAGAAGTTACCAGGTTGGTGATTCCGACATGCATGCAGAGAAGTCTAGCGCGCAAGACAGCACCTACCGGCCCTCGTGTCCGGTGACGACGTCGAGGTACTCTTACTCCGCTCATTCAGAGGATTTGCGGGCGGTCTTAAAGGAGCGGGCTCGCCGGCGCGAAGCTCAGAGGATACCGGCGTTCCAGCGGCTATCCTACGGGATTCACGCCAGCGAGGAGGTCGGAATGCCTCCACCCCGCCAAGCAGCGCCACTCCTAGTGGATTCAGATTTGGCCAGGTTGAGTGCCACCCCTTTCTCCCTGGAAATAGAAACTACACCGCTTCCGGCAGGCTTTCACCAGCCAAAGTTCATGCTTTACGACGGGAAAACTGATCCCTACATGCATATAAGTCATTTCTGACAGGTCATGGCCGGACATAGGCGGAATGACGCTCTTATGTGCCTCATCTTTTCGTCAAGTTTGGGCGAACTAGGCTTGAAGTGGTTTGAAAGGCTGCCGGAGGGGAGTATTGAGAGGTGGCATCAGCTGGCCGAAGCCTTTGTCACGCGCTTCAAAACCAACATAAAAACACCAAAGAAAGTCGATCATCTACTGAGTGTCAAGATGGAACCGAGCGACACATTGAAGGCATACAACTCTAGGTATTGGGAGACCTTCAACGAGATCTTAGACTGCCCGGTCAACCTTGCAATCACTCAATACAAGCGTGGTCTCCCGGTCGGATATAGACTGCGGGACTCGCTTACCATGCACCAACCGACATCCATGGGTCAGCTCATGCAGCGCATTAATGAGCGCATCCGAGTCGAGGATGATGCGTCAGCATCTACCGTGAAGGCAACTCCGGTAGCAACAGACAAGAAGACAGCAGGCAAAGTGCACGCAGTTGGGCAAGAGTCCACCCGCTCAAGTGACCGAGCAGAGGAATCGGACCGTGGCTCGAATCGCAAAAACCAGGGTAGAGGATGTCGGAATGACCGGGATGACTACCCCCGAGATGACGTAGCGGATGCAAACAGAAGGTTGAAGGCAAGGACTGGCATAACCACGGTCTTCAAGATTCCGATCTATCGCATACTTAGTGAAATCCGAGACGAGGAGTATGTCCGGTTTCCTGCTAAGTTGGGCGATGGACAAAAGGGCTACAATCCGCGGTATCGTTGCACGTTTCATCGGGAGCGAGGCCACCGGACTGAGGATTGTTTGCCATTGAGGCAACACCTGGAAGAGCTAGTCGCGGCCGGGCACCTGGATCTTTACATTGATGGGGGCGTTAAGGCAAATCAAGTTCCGCTTGATCCGCGGGGACCGGATGACCGGGATACACCTCCTCAAGGGGTTGTGAATGTCATCCACGGCATAGTAGAACTGGCGCACGTTTGCGAGCTCCATGGTATGATCAAGAAGGCCGAGCACATGAGGGAAGTTTTGTCAGTTCAGCCTGCGCTCAAGAGAGGGAAAACGGAAGCGACAAATGTGATCAGTTTCTCCTCACGGGACTTGGAGCGCATTCAGACACCGCACAATGACGCCTTAGTAGTTACACTCCGCGTCAAAGATTTTGAAGTCAAACGGATCTTGATCGATCAGGGAAGCTCGGTCGAGATCATGTACTACGACGCTTTCAAACAGCTCAAGCTCCGAGATACGGATTTGGCCCCGGCGACTTCGCCATTGGTTGGTTTCAACTCACAACCGGAGTGGCCTTTGGGAAAGATTATTCTGCCGGTCAAAGCGGGATCCGTGGTCAAACAAGTGGAGTTCTGGGTGTTACAGGTGCCATCTACTTACAATTTGATCCTTGGAAGGGGGTGGCTTCACGCCATGCAAGCTGTGGCATCGACTTTTCACCAAGTAATGAGATTCCCCTCGGCTATGGGGGCAATCGAGGAGATTTGGGGCGATCAGGTCATGTCAAAACAGTGCTTCGTGGCAGTCAACGAGAGCCGGGCTGCCAAAGGATTTGTTCAAATGATTGAGGGACCGGAGGACCAGGGTGTCTTGGATGATGTGGGCACCAAGGCCGTGGACAAAGCTATCGAGGAATTGGTGGAGGTGCGAATCGATACAGAGCAGCCGGACAAGTTCTTCTTGCTCGGCTCAAGCCTTACAGCCGCGGAAAGAACCGAGATGGTTGAGTTTTTGATGGCCAACATCGAAGTTTTTGCATGGTCTCCTTATGACATGCCCGGCCTCGATCCTAGCTTTATTTGCCATCATCTCAATGTCTTCCCCGGAGCCAAGCAAATCATTCAACGAACAAGGAGATCGGCGCTGCATCACGCCGAGGTAGTTGCGAAGGAAGTCAAGAATTTGCTGGAGGCACGAGCAATTCAAGAAGTGCACTATCCTCGGTGGATCTCAAATACAGTGGTGGTACCGAAGAAGAATGGGAAGTGGCGGGTTTGCGTTGATTACAAGACCGTCAACCGAGCTTGTCCAAAAGATAGCTTTTCTTTGCCTAGAATTGACCAGCTTGTGGATTTGACGGCTAGACATAACAGGCTCAGTTTCTTGGATGCCTACCGCGGCTATCATCAGATTGCCATCCATGGCCCCGACCAAGAAATCACCTCATTTACTACACCAAGGGGACTCTTCTGCTACCGAGTCATGCCTTTTGGTTTGAAGAACGCCGGGGCAACTTTTCAGAGGATGGTGACCAAGATGTTCGCGCCTTTGCTGGGCCGGACGATGGAAGCTTACATTGATGATATGGTGGTTAAAAGCCGGCATTAGGCAGATCATTTGTCCGACTTGGCCGAGATGTTCGCCATTCTCGAAAAGCACAAGCTGCGTCTGAATGCGTCTAAGTGTGCCTTCGGCGTGGGATCTGGGAAATTTTTGGGATTCTTAGTCACAAATCGAGGTATCGAAGCAGACCCTACACAAATCCAAGTCATGCAAGAGTTAAAACAGCCTAGCTCGGCAAAAGACGTGCAGCATCTGGCCGGAATGGCCGCCGCGCTTAATCGATTTATAAGCTGGTCATCAGATCGCTGCTGCCCTTTCTTTCAGTCCTTAAAATCAAAGTTCTCCTGGGATGAAGAGTGTGACCGAGCCTTGGCCGAGCTCAAGGAGTATCTGTCTTCAGCGCCACTGTTGGTCACACCGGAGCCTGGAGAAGAACTCTATCTTTATTTAGCCGTGTCACAGCATGCAGTCAGTGCAGTGCTTGTCCGGGCTGAAGGAATCAAGCACCTCCCCATCTTCTATGTCAGCAAGACTTTGCTACCGGCAGAGTCGAGATACTTGCCATTGGAGAAGCTTGCTTTGGCATTAATGATGGTTTCAAGAAAGTTGGCGCACTATTTCCATGCACATACCGTCATCGTCTTGACTGAGTTCCCCCTCAAAGCTTTATTCGAGCGGGCAGACTTCTCCGGCCGGATTCTTAAGTGGGCGGTCAAGTTGGGACAGTTTGATGTGAAGTTCCAGCCGCGCACTGCCATCAAAGCCCAGACTTTGGCCGACTTCGTCGCCGAATTCTCACCTGGAACTCATCCGGTATGCCCGGTCGATATTACCGTGGCAGATGATGAGGTGCATGCAAGACCATCCGAGATACAACCAGTTGGTGGAGGTAGCGACGCCGAGTTTGCGCGCACCACTGAAGCACCCTCAGTTTGTACGCTTTTACCACCCAGTAATGCGATGACGGAGTTGAGTATCACCGACCAACCTGCTCTGTCCGGT